CCAGCAAGAAAGGCTATGCAAGTTCCAGGTGGAGCGTGGACTGGCTAAGGACGATCAGCTGAAGGTTCATGGGTTTTAAGTGCTTGTAGCTCTCTGAAATTTAAGTGAGGATTTCCTTGCAATGAGTAGAATTTCTCTTCTGTCCCTTGTCACAAGTTTAAAAACCTCTCAACTTCTATAATGTAACCAAGTAGTCCGTTTTTTAACTTGGATTAGTGTAACTCCTTTATGCAATCAACTGAAAAGAACCCAAAAAAATCAGAAACAACAAAATATTATCAAATGGAAAAAATAAATAAGTAAGGCTTGGCAGCCTAGTGTTGGCCAAGCAGCAGAATACTCAGACCCTTGTTGAAGGGTGACAGAGGCATGTCATTTTTTTCTGAGGGGAGGGGGGAATGGGGTTTGAACTCAGGGCTTTGCACTTGCAAAGCAGGCCCCTACCACTTGAGCCACACCCCCAGTCCATTTTGCACTGATTATTTTGGAGATGAGCTCTCCCAAACTATTTGCCCAGGTTGACCTTGAGCCTCAACCTCCTAATCTCAGCCTCCCAAGTAGCTAGGATTATAGGCACGAGCCACCTGCACCAGGCTAGAGGTATACCTTTTTAAAGTTGGTTCAGCAGTACAGTACTCACCCTGAGTTAGTCAGGTTTCTGTTACTTACTGCAACAAATGCCTGAAATAATCATCTTATAAAGAGAAAAGGGTTGTGTGTTTGGTTGGTTGGTTTTGGTTTTGCTTCTTTTGAGACAGTGTCTTGCTAGGTAGGCCAGGCAACTCATGATCCTCCTGCCTCACCCTCCCAAGAGCTGGGTTAATAGGCATGGACCACCATTCCTGGCAAGAGAAAGGGTTATGTTGGCTCACAGTTTTAGAGGTTTCAGTCCATGATCAGTTGGCCCTCTTACTTTGGGCCTGTGGCTGCACACCATGTGGGGATCTCATGGTGGAGCAAAACCACTCACCTAGTGGCCAAGAAACAAAAGAAGAGGAGGGAATTGGGGTCCCACCATCCCCTTCAAGGACATGCCTCCAGTGACCTGAAGACCTCCCACTAGGCCCCATCTCTTAAAGATTCCACTATCTCCCAATAATGCCACTCTGGGAATCAAACCTTTAACACCTTTGGGGAATATTCTGTCACATCCCCTTATGTGCCCCATGGTCAACTGTGGTCAGAAACATTGAATGGAAAATTCTGAAAGTAAACAGCTCATAAATCTTAAATAATTTTATTGTAATAAATTGTTATTCTTGTTCCTTTTTATTATTGTTGTTAATCCCTTACTGTGCCTAATTTATAAATTACACTTCATTGTAAATATGTATATCTATAGGGAAAAAAACAGTATATGTAGGATTTGGTACTATCTTGGATTTCAGGCATCCACTGGCGGGGGGGAGGGGAAGCAGGTCTTAGAATCAACACCTGAGGATAGGGTAAGATGCTGTATCTACCAACAGTTTTAAGTGACAGTCCTCTGACCTAGCAACTTGTCCTTTAGAAATGAATCACACTGAAATTCTCCTCCATGGGTACAGAGCTATTCATGCACAGATGTTTACTGAAGTGTTTTTGTTGTTTTATAATGAAAATAATGCAAGTAGCCCACATGTCTGTGATTGAGATTTTTTTAGATAAAATGGGAGTGTAGAAAAACTGCAACAGTGCAAATGTGTAGAAAACTAGACAGCCCTCCCTGGATGCATACTGACCTTGAATTATCTAAGACCAGACACCAGGGGGAGAAGAGCACATTGCAGAGTGGCTTGTACAGTCCAATGGTGTCTTGGTAAGAAGCTTTTGTTCCTGTGTAAAACTAAAGGAAGTCATATACTTCATTTTGCAGGGAGCAGGCAATGGGGAGCTGGGCAGATGGTGTCCAATTCCCTCCACTCTATAGCTGTTCTGTCCAGTGTGGCACCATGAGCCACTGATGGCCATTTAAATTTAAGTAAAATAAAATATTAAATTCCATTCTTCAGTCACACTAGCCCTATTTCAAGTGCTCAAAAGCCACAGATGGCTACCTATCAGTGCAGATATAAGCCATTTCTGTCATTGAAATTTTCTTGGGGAGCCCTGCTCTGAGGGCTGCAGTGGATGGAAGCAGGTTGTCTGATGGCAGGCACTGAGCATGGGCAGCATTCCTGGAATCGGCCTTGAGGAAGAAAGTCAGCCTAATGAGGCCGCCAAGCCTAAGAAGTGGGCATAGGAGCTGAGATTGTGCAAAGAGCAACTATTCACAGTCTTTCAAGCACAGGGTGTCCATCCTGTCCTTGAAGTTGAAGACTTCTGTGATACTGAGCTCACCACCTCTTCCTCTTGGGCAGCATCCCAAGAGAAAGAACAGAGAGCCAGGAGACAGGCCAACTTCCTACCAGCTTTGCTGTTTAGTGTCTGTGCCACCTTGGGCAAGTTGCATAACCTAACAGAGAAGTTTTCCTGTCTGTGAAATGGCAATAATTTTAACTACTTCATAGATTGTTGTATTAAATGTGATATATGTAATGATGATAACACCTGGTATATAGTAGGTGCTCAGTAAAATATCATTATCATTATTTCTGTGATTTTCAATTATTAATCCTAGTTCTCTTAACTACACAGACTCTCTTATGTTAGCCCTTCAGGTAATGAATATAATTCTTTTTTCAACCAATTGAGACCTGCGTTCCTGGAATTTGCCCTTGTGCAACTGATAGTTTTGTACGAATGTGGGTATAAATGTCACCTATATAAAAATATAATCTCTGAGTGCTACAAATAAGAGATTTATGTGCTCCGAGAGCATCAATAGGGAATTTGACCTGGTCTGAGAAGACTGCAAGGGCAAGCAACAGTTAACAAGGCAAAGACTGCAGGGAACATTGTTGCAAGTGGAGGAACAGCATACTACAAAAGCCATGTGTGAGAAGGTCTGTGGCCATTGGGAGAAACTGAAAGGAGGTCAGTGATGCATACAGGAGATTGTTAGGGTTATGGAGGCCAACCTTGGATAGGAAGATTTTGTTCTTTAAACATCAATGAAGAAGCCAGGCATGGTGACACACACACCTGTAATCCCAGCACTCAATAAACTGAGGGAGAAGTATGGAAAACTTGAGCCCAGGGTGGTGGAGTGGCTCAAGTGGTAATAGCACCTGCTTAAAAGTGTGAGGCCCTGAGTTCAAACCCCAGTACCACCAAAAAGAAAAGAAAACTCGAAGCCAGCCTGGGCTACATACCCTGTCCAAAATAATAATAATGAATACAAAAGTCAAGAGGCCAGTAGAGGGTTTGAAATAAAGGAGTGGGGCTAGATTAATGTGTTTTAAAGACCACTGTGGTTGTAGGGCTGAAAACAAACCAGAGAGGAGGAGGAGCTGATCCAGGGTGGCCAGCTGGAGACTGCAGTGTACCCAGGGGCAATGAAGATGGAGAGAAATAATGAGTTCAAGGAAGATTTGGGAGGCAAAGTCTGAGGTTGGTGCTGGATTTGGCTTGGCAGGTGAGGGTCAAGGGGTGTCAAGGTTGATATCTTGTACTTGTGGGGCTAGGAATGACACTACTCAATGAGTCAGTACACCATGGGGAAAGGGCAGATTTCATTTGCTGAAACCAAAGTACCCATGAACCTCAAGGGGTTAGACAGGCCTGGGCTTAAAGAGAGTCTGGGTCAGAGGTTTGGTAATTAACAACTCACTGCCATGGTTTGCATTGCTTATTATTCTGACTTCTGGCCTCTGAACTCTAAGCCATCAGTACTTGTCCGAATTAAAGCACACTGTGATCTGACCTGTACAGCTTTTAGGACTATTAGATTTGTGACCCAGGCCCCAAGAGACTATTAATTCAACATCAGATGAAATTATCTTTACTGTTATCCTCATTACCCATTTGGCTCATTGTTGTAAATATCATCAGCCTTATTTCACAAGACAGGTCTGCTTGTCCAGCACCTATAACTGATTTTTTTTTTCTTTCCAGCCCAACTTGAACTCATTGTTAAATGCTTTCTTAGCAGCTGAGACTCATCCTTTGGGGCCTCTAAAATAATTCAGGCTCACAGTGCTGGCTTCTACCCAAATGTCTCATTGAGTCATTTGTACGCTTGCTCAGCCCAATCCAGCAGTCTCGACCTGAGCCTCCCCAGCCCTCAGAGTTCCTAGAATTTTGGCAAGACAAAGAAGTTTCACCTTTATTTTTTCTAACCTCTAACTAAAATTTAGCAATTCCCCCATCATGAATATGAGCAAAACTCCCAGTAGTATCAGCAGTATCTGTGGCTTGTCACAAAAAGACATCACATTATTTTATTCTGATATTCTGTTAGAGTCATTGTCAAAATCCCAAAATACCGATTTTGCTCATTACTACTTGGAAAATGTCAGTAGTTGTTATACCTGCTGCTAGATCTTGTTATTAAGTATATGAAAAAGAAGCATACGTTACTATATCATATTTTTTTAACATTTTGGTAATCCTTCGATTTTGTAATCGTCCATATTTTACTGGTTTTAAAGCATAATTCTGAGCAAGATGCTGGTGGTTCACATCTGAAATCCTAGTGACTCAAGAGGCAGGGATCAGGAGGATCTTGGTTCGAAGCTAGCTCCTGGGCAAATAGTTCATGAGACCCTGTCTTGAAAATACCCAACACAAAAAAAGACTAAGGGAGTGACTCAAAGTAGTAGAGCACCTGCCTAAGGCCCAGAGTTCAAACCATAGTACCACCAAAAAAAAAAAAAAAACCATTATCCTAGGAGGAATCAGACTGCCAAAGGGCCCATGGCACAAAAAAGACTCAGAACTCCTGGCCTGAGAAGCTCCTTCCAGGCCTCCTGCAAAGCCCCACTCTGAGTAGACAGGGTTCTTGAGTTCATGCATTCATGCCATCTCCTGAGGCCCCACCAGGAGGACCCACCAAAGGACCTAGATTATGTAGAAACAGATCACTGTGCTAGTGTGCTAGAAAACAGATTGGGGTGGAGCAAGAATGGACTGGGAAAAGGAAGGAAAAAGAGAAGAAAGTGAATGGGTTGGGAAGGAAGGGCAGGAGACAAATTTTACCAAAACCCCAAGAAAACCACTCATGGCTGTGGAAAACTCAACCTTTATTAATACCTGCCTAGTGCAGGGGATTAAAACTGCCTCAAGCTAGGTCCATATATTAGTGTAAAAATCTGTGTCTCTCCCCCAAAAAATGTACAAACCCCAGGTGATTATAGAAAAACCAATGTGGCAACTATAATAGAGATGTCCAACCCCAGGGCCACAGGCCATTGCTCCCTTTCCCACTAATCCCAATATTTACTCCACAGAAACATACAGGCTTAGAGAAGTTCTAGCTACAGCACGGCAGGTGGGAAGTGGGGAGGACTGAGGAATGGGGCAAGGATAACCCCCCAGGTCCAGTGTGTTTGGGGGTGAAGGAGGAGGAGGCCAAAGCTGAGGACAATTCCAGGGGTAGGCATAAGGGAAGATCTTTCTTCCCTTTTGTCTTCCTCATCCCCCAAATTCTCAGCCAGAGGGTCCAGTGTGTGACAGGAAGAGAGAGGCTGGGGGCACAGCCACCTCCCCAGGAACCAGTGTTGTCCAGTGAGGCCCAGGTGCTCCAGTGGGCCATGTCCAGTGTCTGCCCTGCATTTGTCCCCACCCTCCCCCAGGGGATGGTTGGAAGTCAAAGAGGATCCCATCCACAGGGCCAGCTGGGTGGGCAGCAGGGGCTTCTAGGGAGGAGATGGATTAGGAATAGGAAGGGGACATGAGCTTGTGTCTGGTGAAAGAGGAAGTGTCAGCTCCCTGGGCAGGCCCAGCCCACCACAGTTGCTCTCAGGTGATGGGTTAATTGGAAGGGGGTGCCATAGACTCCTCTTGTTTTAGTGTCACAGCTTCCCTTGGATCATGATTCACACTGTGTTGAGCACATCCTCTGCCAGGAACCGATGCAGCTGGGAAAAGGGTGGTCGCTGCTCAGGTTCCCGGCTCCAGCACCGAAGCATCAGTTCATACAGGCTCTGCGGGCAGGCAGGCGGCCTGGACAGGTACACCTGGATTGTACAGCATGGAGAAGCGCGGATAGTGTAAAAATGTCCTACAGTCCACACAACATGCTCTTCCCCTCCTCGCCTCCCACGATGGACCCATCTCCCCTGCCCGTGCTCTGACCTGCCGACCCTGGTCCCGGAAGAACTCTCCAGCATTCTCAATGACTTGTTCATCGGTGAGTTGCCCAAAGGGCTGGGCTCTGCAGAGCATCAGCACCTCCCACAGGGTCACCCCAAAGGCCCACACATCACTCGCTGTTGTGAACTTCCCCTGGCACACGGAGAAGGCAACAAGGGTAGAGAGAAGCCTCAGGCAACATAGCTGTGGGGAAGCCCCAGGGCGCCCAGCCTGACTCCTCCCAATCCCAGGCTCTCCTCTCTCCCTAGCTGGTCCACCTATCCCAACAACCCTCTCTCCCTGGTGCTCTGCCTTCTTTCCCTGTGCTTGGCCCTCTCTTCTACCATCTTTCCACTCCACCTGCCCCACATTTTCTGGTCCTGACTCTGTCTTTCCCCAGCTCCATCTCCAGCTTCCTCTCTCCTCTTACCTCTCCAACGCCTTGACTCCATCCCCTGTCCCCGCTCTTGGCTCCTGGATCCCATTCCCATCACATCACTACTCCCTCTCCCTAGTCCCTTGAGCCAGAGGGACACTCATTTTTCAGATGAGGAGACTGCAGCACAGAGAAGGCATGTGACTGAAGGCGCCACAGAGCTGGTGGCAGCTGGTGTCATCCTCCACCACCCTGCCTCTGCCTGCCTCTCCTCGGACTGCTCACCATGAGGATGCACTCCCAGGCCATCCAACGGATGGGCAGCACCGCCCGGCCCTGCACACGGTAATAATCCCCAGCGTAGAGGTTCCTGCTCATGCCAAAATCAGCAATTTTAATGGTGAAATTTTCCCCAACCAAGCAGTTCCGGGTGGCCAGGTCTCGATGCACAAAGTTGAGTGTGGCCAGATAGCGCATGCCTGAGGCGATCTGGGCTGCCACATGCAGCAGCATTGGGTAGCTGAGTAAGGAAGCCAACAACAGAGGGTTACTAGGGTTCAGCCTTAGACAATGCCCTAATTCACATATTCCAGGAAAGGAAGGGGAGCCCACCCCTGGACAGGTCACTCCTGCTCCAGCTTTGGAATGCCCATATGAGGCCAGGGTCAAGTTCCCACTCAACCCCTCTGGCTCATCCAACCATAATGTGCTTGTGTTTTGTTAGGCTCGGCTGGCTGAGCTCGGGCAGTGAGGGTGAGGAGATGAGATGGGATTCATGGTGGGGAGTCCTTTCACCCTTCCCCATGGTTATCTCATCCTTTCTGGCCAAGTCCAAGATTACCACTGTCATATGTTCCTCATCCCAGTCCCCTCCTGGGACCTCTACCTACCTCCCCACTCCATGCGCCCCAACCCCTACCCCTGAGACTTAGAGTGAAGAGAGAGGAGACCTGCTTGGGCTAATCTCAGGGAAGGCCACACCTACATAAGTGAATACCTGATGGTGGGCCCCTGAGCAGCCTCCTCATCCCCAGGGGCCCCCTCGGCCACCTTGTCCTCCAGCTGGTGGGCGCTGAGGAACTGGTTCAGGTCACCGTTCTCCATGTAATCAGTAATCATACAGAGGGGGTCATCCTGCACACACACACCCAGGAGTCGAATGATGTTTGGGTCCTTGAGCCGGGACATGATCTTCACCTCCTTCAAGAAATCATTCCTGGAGAAGCAGGGAGAAGGTGGGGGAACGCCAAAGGGGCGACCCACACCTTCCTTCCTGCTCACAAGGACCAGGCACCCCGACCCCCAGAGAACATGCAAACTTCCCTCCCTGGACACCAGCCCTCTGTCTCTACCACAGCGGTAAGCCCTCAGTCTCTACCTCTCTGCACTGCTGCCCACAGTTCATGGCCTCCCCTTTCCTTCATCCAGGCGCCATCCTGGTCCTCACCTAGCGTTCTTGGTGGCATCTGGTCGTAGGATCTTGACAGCTACCAGCAAGGGTTGTCCTTTGCGCATATTGATGGGAAAGTCAAGACTGACCAGATCTTGAGGGTTCTCTACCTCACACAGGTGCACCTGGAGAATGAAATGAAGGTTACTGGCTAGATCATAAGGTTCAGCTGAGGTCACAGGGTCAAATGGGGCCAGATAGTAAGGTTCCTGTCCAAGGTAGACATGCAGACAAGACATCAGTGCCCCACGGGTCAGACACTATTAATGGCTGGGCAGGCATCCTCCTTACCTCACCAAACTGGCCCTCGCCAAGCTTCTCCTTGAAACGGAGCCGAGACCGAGGGAAATCCACTCTGGGGGGCCCATCCCCAACCGCCCCTGGGGGCAATGCAGGCACAGCATAGGTGTTGCCCCCGGTGACGCCCTGCAGGGTGACAATGTCAGCTTCGGCATAATGGGGGACACTGTTCTGGGGAGGTGGGGGCAGAAGTGGGGCACCCGGCTTCTCAGGCTCCATGTAGTCCCCATTGCAGGCTGGAGAGGAGTAAGGGGAAAGAAGACAGGACAAGGCATCAGGCACAGCCCCTGAAAGTCACAGCTCTCCACACCCCAGCCTAGAAGCCCTTTGTCTCCCAGTTGGATGAGACATTCATCCACCCTGTACCTTTCCTGGTGGTTCCAGCCACCAGCCTTAAACTAGAGAAGGCACTGGCATGAAATGAGAGTTAACTACTCCAGATAAAGTTTTCAAGGCAGTACAAATGGTTAAGCAAAAACTATCATAAAGTCTTACTCTCCGGGAATCTCCCAGCACAGCCTAAAAGACCATAAGGTAAGTCTTGGCTGGAAGAGGAATTCCTTTACCCCCATCAAAAGGATGGTCAGCCATCCAGTCTCCTCCACTTTCCAAACCCTTGTCCTCCTCAACACCAGCTCCCTCCCTCCTCTCCACTTATCTGTTCTCCTGCTGCTTTCAGCCTGATCCTTCCCAAACCCCCCAACCCAACACACCAAGCTCAAAGACAGAGACAAGGGCACACAGAGAGGGGAAAGGGCAACAGTTCTTCACCGCCCCATGATGAGTTGTCTATACACAGGAGGGAAGCAGAGCTGTCCCCTCTTGACCCTGGGGAAGGAGCCACAATAAGAAAGCAACACATAGGAAAGGAGGAGCAGACAAGAGGGGCGGGGCATGAGCCTTCACCTCTAGGACTGCAGAGAGAGGACACATGGGGGAGAGGGCAAGCACCCAGAGTGAGGCCCTCCTCCTCGCAGCTCTAGAGAGAGGGGAGAATAAAGGAGGAGTTACGAGAAAGCCTGGGACACCACAGCTCTGGAGAGCTGTAGAGGTGATTGGGAGAGGAGGAAGGGACAGAGCTGAGACCGGTAGCCTTCTACTCAGCTCAAGGGGGAGGCCTTCAAAAGGAGCAAGAAGCAGCAGAGCCCGAGCTAAGGGTATGAGAGCTTCCAGCTGGGGAGCTCAGGAGAGCAGAAGAGGCCACAGCGGGGAAGGAGGGAGTGCAAGGTGTGAGAGCTTTTCCCTGCCCCAGTAGAGGTGTGGGGAGCTTGGCAAAGCCCAGGGGCAGAGGGGCTTACCCTGGGTGTTGGTGGGTTTGGCCCAGGCGGGTGTGGGGGGGCCCGGGCCTCGAGGGGGACGGGCGTAAGTGGCCAGAAGGAGGCGGTAGGCTGGATTGGAGAGCAGCAACGCTGTCGGGAGAAGGAAGGGGGAGAGACACGGGGAAGGGATGAGACTCAAGGCTAGACAGACAGGGAGACCTGGAGTAGGGCAAGACCAGGCATATGTGAATGAATGTAGTAAGAGACAGAAACAGGATAAAACAAGGACCTGGAAAGTGATGGGTAGCCAAATGGAGGATGGATGGACAGATAGATGGATGATGAATGGACAAATGGATGATGGATGGATGATAAACAGATGATTGAGTAAATGGATAATGGATGGACAAATGGATATATGAATATAGACGGATAGGTGGATGGATGAATGGATGAATGGATGAATACAGACAAATGGTAGGATGAGAAAATTGATGTATAAGTAGAGGTAAGAGAATGGATAGGTCAATGGATGGAACAAACCTGGTGAGTCTAGGAAAAAGAAGAGAGGCTAGGGAGACATAATGAAAGGATACAACAGAAAATATAGAAATATGTATGTATGACACGCGACAGGATGAAACCCCTGAGGATTATGGGTAATAGAGAGGAAATCCTTGAGTTAGACCATGTGGTAGGGACATGTAGTGATAAAGTAGGTGACTAGAGGCATAAAAATAAGAAAGTGAATTAAAACTGGCATAGATAGGTAAAGAAGAGAATAGGAAAGGAAAAGAAGAGGGATACAATAAGAAAACAGGCAGAGGACAGAGGTGGGACTAGAACAAGGCAGGCCTTACCAGAACTGTTGGGGACACAGGGAGCAGAGTGGGGTGGATTCCCACGAGGCCGTGGCTCCTGGTAAGGGGGTGGTTCTCGGGGACCTGGGCGGTTGTTGATGAGGATGGTGTCCCCAGGGACAGAGAGATGAACTGTCAGCTCCTCTTCCAATACCCGACGCTCGGCCTTATTAAAGGGAACCGGAGATGTTAAGCAAGGCCACTGCTTAGCACACACTTTCTGGCATTTCATTAAGTGCTGCTCCTGGGTTCTCTCCTTTAGTCCTCACAATAGGCCTGTAGTTGTAGTTCCTGCATGCTTCATTTCGCTTTCTTTCAGGTAAAGAAGCTGAACATTTAAGTAACTTCCCTGATGTCCCACCATGGGATTCCAACTGAAATCTGACCAGCCCCTAATTATCACCCTTAATGCATATCACCACCCTGGACTCTCATGGGAAGACAAGGGTATCTTCCATTTGCCCTCTTGCTCCACTCACCACCTTTCTTCACCTGATTGTGGTTGGCCAGAGAAGAGCCCCAGTGGAAGTTTGGAGGGAGGGCAATAAGTGAGGTCAGGAGATCTGTTCTTCCAGCCCCTCCCTCAGGACTGGCATTCACCAAAGTACACTGCCCCTTTCAAGGGGCCCTCTCCAGACTCCTCCTTACTCTGGTAACTACCTGCTTCCTCCTCTTACCCTGGCAGGACCTGGAGTAGGAAACTGACCTATGCCTTGTGCACACTTTTGAAGGCAGTCTTTATTTATGTTATTAGATCATGGCCTCCCATTCCCCACTAGACCCTGACTTGTGCAGGGCTCTGGACCTGCCAGGCCCCCACCACCTGCAGTCAGGCCCCCGCCCTGCGCCCCACGCACCTTGCTGAGGAGCCTACGCCAGTGCAGCCTCCAGAGCATGAGGGCAATGATGAGCAGCAGCAGCAAGATGATGGCCACCAGGCAGCCGATGAGGATGGCAGTTGGGCTCCCTTCTGCCTTGGCCACAGGCTGCTGGCCCCGGGGCTCCAGCTCTGGCAGAAGATAAGAGTCAGCATGGCAGGAAGCTTCCCACCCCACTGGAAGGGAGGCCATGGAGGAACTGTGCCAAAGGCTGCTCACCCAAGCTGCTGAAGTTGGTGGGAGGTGGGCCAGCAGGCCACCAGGGGGCTGGTGGGAAGGTGCCCCCCAGAGCTGGAGAGGAGTCATTCACCACATCTGGAGAGAAGGAAGCAAAGAAAGGAGGGAATCAGAGCAGGGAGACCTGAGGGAGCACATGTGCATGAGACCTAAGGACCTGAGTAGAAGGAAGGGTGACACTCAATACAGGTGACTACTGACCAGTCAGACACCACCTAATCAGAGCTCCTGTACAGAGCCCGGGATGAGGGTCCTAGGTATCAGGAGGCTTAGCACACAGGCTGCTTCTCAACTGATATAGAAGTCTTTCAATATTTAAACAACCAGTACTGTCACTCTGGCTCAGGATAAGTCATGAGCGAGGAACTCATAATGGAAAAACAGATGCAGGGAGAAAGGGGAAGAAAGGAACTCCGATTATTCTGCTCCTGGTTGAGAAGTCTCATAGGTAAATATGATGTTAGTTAGGAATAGCTATTCTGGGGGCACTACAGGGTTAGCAGTTAAGTCAGTTGGCAACCACAGGAGCTGGGGATTGGCCACTCTGGGGGCTTACCAGAGATGAAGGAGATTTCACTGAAGAGTAACCAGGGCCCCGCAAATAGGAAGCGGCACTGCAGAAAGCGACCCACACGACCACCCAGGGGCACTGAGATAGCCCTGGCTCTTGGATCCCCCAGGCTGCCCCCCAGGGCATGGCGCATGGGCTCCCCCTCCCAGGCCATGGCAGGGCCCCTCTTGAATCGACACTCCACTCCTCCCGGCAGGCGGGCTCCCAGTGTGTGCATGTTGTTACAGTGGACCTGTGGGGAAAGGAAGAGAGGCACAGCATGAAAGCCAGGAGAGCCCCAGAGCACCCCACAGCATCCACCCTGGCATTAGAGTCATCCCTGAGAGCTGGGCTTGCTCACCTGCATTGCCTGGAAGGCCCGCAGCCGGTCAAACTCAAACTCCATCTCCACATAGCCACTGGGGAAGCTATGGTTACTCCATCCCACATAGTCATAGCCTGGCCAGACCCGCAGCTCCTGACTCTGCCTAAAGTCATCCAGCCCCACCACGCCATCTGCCAGCTGGCCTAGACCACCATATTGCAGCCTGGAGAAGAGGAGACCAAAGAAGGAAAGGGAAGGGGAAGTTGGAAGAGAAGAAGGTACCTCTATTCTCCAGGTGCTCTGGACAGCCCACCCACCCCCCAGTGGCCTGGCTGGCCTGGTTCCTATCAACTTGTTCCATTCCCAGCCAACCCACCCGTGGCCTCATTAGTTCTCTTCCTTGCACCACCCCCAAGAGTATCACAGGTAGTTTGCAGGTCACACACTGCACAAAGGCACAAAACTCTAAGGCTTACTGTTCAATCTATGGTATATTCATTGTGACAATTTCCAACAGATGTTCTTAGCCAAGGAATGCCTCTTTCTAATCTACACAAAACACCCTATGGCTAGTGATCACCCTGCTACCCTTTATTCCTGGTCCTGACTTTTGAAGCCCTACCTGCTGATCATTCTCCCCAGTTCTTCCATTCCACTGCCCAGACTACTTACCCAAACCCCACACACACTCTGGCCTTCCCCTTATCCCAGGCTCTGGGTCCTGCAGAGCCCATTCCTCTTACCCGCCAACGGTGTATCCATCGTAGGTGGAGTCATTGAGATGCACAGCCTCAGATAAGTACATGGTCTGCCCCACAGGGGCTGTGTAAGACAGGAGTCCATCTGGAGCAGGATGTGAAAAAGAGAGTTAAGAGGCACAAATCTTCCACCTCAAATCCTGCATCAGGCCCCCTGGGCAGATCTCAACCCCTCTCTTGTATTCCTCCACTAGCCTACAGGCATGGAGGAAGCTATATCAGCCAGTCCCCTCCTCACTCAGAGTGACAGCATCTCAACAGGAAAGGATCCTAGATGCCCCTGTTCACATGCCTCACACATAGTCTCCAGGACTAGAAATGGACTCTTAGGGGTTTTCCCTACTCACCCCTCCAAAGGCAGCCATAGAGCTCCACCCGTAGACAGACACTCATGACCCGGTCCGCCCGGGGGTAGAAGCGAACAAGTCGGGCCACCATGGGGGGCCCAAGGTCCTTCAGCACCACTCCCCCAGGGTCCTCATTACCTGAGATCACCTGTGGGCCAGGAAACAGGATGGAATGGGTGGGAAGGGCTCCAGGTTAGATCTAACTTCCGAGCTATCATTTGCTCCCTGGCCCAGCCCACAGAGGTTACTAAGAGACCTGAGCACACAACACTGTGGGGTGCAGCCAGACATTTGTAAAACAAGGGTCTGCAGCAGTGACCTCTGACACCTCTTGCAGCCCTTGGTCTGTCTTCAAACTCCAGTCTCAGATACCCCTCTCAACTTGCCTGGCTCCATTCATGTGTCTCCAAGCCACTCATGTCATTATAGCCAGATCCCATCTAGTCTCAGAGCCCTACACCCCATGTCAGCTTCCTCCTCTTGCTCTATCCCATTCCCTCTTTTCATTCAGCAGAAATTGGCTGAGTGCCCATTCCGTGCCAGGCACATTCTCAGTGGTGAACAACAATCACTCCCCTCACAGGACTGAGACTCCAGTAGAAGAAATAGCTGAGAAGAACAAGAGGCAGTGTGTGAGGACAGAGCGTGAGGTAGGTGGTTAGAAAAGGCTCTCTAGGAGATGACATCTGGAGTGGTGGTGAGGACTGGATGTTGCAAGAGAGAGCCTGTGGGTGTCTGAGAGAGGAGCTTACCAGGCACACAGAGCAGCAAGTAAGAATGTTCTGACTGGGGAGGAGCCCTGATTTGTTCCAGGAAAAGCAAGAAAGGGAGAGTAGCCAAGGTGGAGCAAGAAGCAGGAGGTGCAGCCAGAGCTAGCCAGGCTGAGCATTCAGCCAAGGAACTTAGCTTTTGTTCTGGTAGAGTGGAATGCCAGGAAGGGCTGAAAGTCGAGTGTGACATATCTGGTTTACATTTTCTACAGACCCCTATATGTAGCCCCAAGGCAGAGATGCGACATCAGGCAAAACAGTCTGGAGCTGGGGAGAAGGACACTTGGCCTAGGGCTGTAGAGTGGAATAGAGAGAAGTGGTGGGATTCAGGAAATGCCATGAAGTAGAACAGACTGGTGCTGCCCATGGTTTGGAAGAGGAGGTGAAAGAAAGAGATCAGGGTTGTCATCTCAGCTCATGGCCTGAGCTCCTGGGCAATGGTGGTACTACTTCCTGAGCTGAGAATGTTCGGAAGGAGCAGGTTCAGGGTAGGAATGATAACCAAGGTCTAATTAGGAAGTTAATGAGATGCCCATTAAATGTCAAGGTGCAGGAGGCACTCAGGCTTGCAATACTGGGTGGTATTGGGAAGATAGGATCTGGAGCTGGATATGCTACAACTGGAAGGTCATCAGTGTATGAATGCTGTTTAAAGTATGACTGGGAAGGAAGACAGCCAGCCTCCCCTGGCCACTGCCACTACTGGCCTCACCTCCTGACCCCAGCGGTCCTTCCAGTCCATCCAGCGGTGGCCATCCCGGGAGTAACGCAGCCGGTAGCTACGAGAGAACTCCTTGCCCAGGCCCCCAGCATGGCGGCCTTGTGTGCCCACCAGAGCAACCAGGTGCAGCCGCCGGAGATCCACCTGCAGGTACTCCTCCTCTTTAGGAAACACAGGCCCTGCAGGGCACCATGCCCCATCCCCGTCACTGCTCTCCAGCCTAGTAGAAGGAAGGAGGTCACAGGGAACATCTGACCCTAGGTCTGCCTCTGTCTAGTATTAAAACCTGCCCCCACTGAACTACAGTAGTTTCATTGACATGGGCCTTCTCAAAAGCCTCTGGGCTTGGGTAGAAGAGCTCGAAAGGCAAATAGAGACTTTCAGACCTCCCTCCAGGACAGGCCCAGGTGTGCCAGGTACCTGCTATGGCGGGCAGCAGTGGAGTCTGACCAGGAGCTGGAGACAGAGATGTCACTGTCGGGAATGGTCCGGTCCTGCATGCCCAGGGCATAGCGGCACTTGGCTGGATGAACATAGGCATGACAGATCAATGCCCCCAACTCTTTGACCCCCAAGCTCTATCCCTCCAGGACCCAAGATTCAGTCTCCTCACCAGGGTCAAAATGTCCCTTCATGTCAGCATCTCCAGTTGCCACCAAGAGTAGCAACAGCATCAGTAGAGATGAGAGGGCCCCTGGCCCCATAGCTCCTGATCCCTTGGGCCTAAGGAGGTGGGGGCAGCATCTCTGCAGGGAACAAAATGGGTAGGAGAGTAAGTTAATCAGGGACTGAGTCACAGTGACAGCAATAGACAGCATGGCTGCTTTGGGGATAAGAGCAGTAAAATGACAAAAATGGTCATTGTTTAACAGCATTGGTTCTATTTTTAGACTGCTTCCCATGTGCCAGACTGGGCTAAATCCTTAAACAGAATCTATAATTTTATCTTCACAGACACTTTATAAGGTAGATTCTGTTACTATCCATATTTAACACATAAAGAAACTGGGGTAGAGATCCATTAAATAACACCTAAAGCCCCACTCCTCCAATCAACAGAGTATAAAATATCACTTTAACAATGGCTTCAAACAATGAGAACCCAAAAAAATATTGACAACACATGTAACAGAAAAAAAGGTTAACAGTTTACAAATTGATAAAACACATATATGTATATATATATGCATATACATATATATATAAACAACTGATACAGAGATGGCCAAAAGAATCTCAACAATCATTTCACAGGAGAGCAAAGCCCAATTGCTGAGTCAGAGAAATACAAATCAGATTGTAAAAAAAAATTTTTTTGGTGGGACTGGAGTTTGAACTCAGGGCCTCAAACCTGCAGAGCAGGTGCTCTACCACTTGAGCCAGTCCATTTTGTTCTTATTATTTTGAAAATGCTGTCTCAAACTATTTGCCCAGGCTGGCCTGGAACTTCGATCCACCCGATTTCAGCTTCCCAAGTAGTTAGGATTGTAGGTGTGAACCACCAGAACTGGGCTTGACAAAATATTTTTAAGGGCTGTAACTTCTATGGATGGTAGAGAGGGACAAAAAGGGAGCCACCATTCTCAGTGACAGGTATGTAGTATTATCTATTTGGAAAGCAATCTAGCAATATGACAATTAAAAATGCACATCTCGTATAACCCTCGTTTCCCTCCTGTGATCTAATCAAAGGGAGAAGTGCCAGAAAGTAAAAACTGTACAAAGATATTCAAATGTTATGGCACCTTTTGTCAGGACACAAATCCATAAATCATGTGAATGCCCATAGGGGACTGGCTAGGGAAAAAAATAAATTTTAAGGTTCATAGACTTCTATGCAGCTATGGAAAGTAACAAAACAGCAATAAGTCTCTGACTTGGAGTGATTTCTTTGTGCTACTGTTGGACATGAAAAGCAAGATACAGAAATATGAAAAATGTTCCTAACTTGTGAAAGCAAAGAACAAACCCCTGCATTTGTACATACACTTGTATGTATGTCTAGAGAGGCTATGTAATAGAATATGAGTTAACATAAATGGGTCAAGAGCAGGAAAGAGCAGAAAAAGGGTGGGCGGGGGAGAGAGACAGGTTGCATGTACTGTTTTCCTAAAATCTATAACATGGTAACATTTATGCATTTATGTAAAATCAAGTGATATATAAAAATCATTTACGTTCTTTAAAAATAAAGGCATCCTAGAAGAGATGGGCAAGTCTTTGTGAAGGACATGATAGAATTAAACAGCAGCTAAACCTGGACCAGCTGACCCTGGGACCTTCCCACTTCACACCCTGCAATCTAAGAGAAGTGTGGGAACCCAGCACCTTCCAATCTCACCATCCTCTGCAGCCCCATAGGTCCAATGTAGTCCCTAAACCAGCAGACTTAGCATCTTCTAGAAGCTTTTGGGAAATGCAGAACCTCAGGCTCCATCTAGACCTGCTGTCAGAATCTGCATTTTAACACCATTCCCGGGTGACCTGTGCCCACTTAAGTTTGAAAATCCTGACTCTATTCCTTCTGGGCCTCAGGAATCCCAATGGTTATCTCCATACACCCAGTGTCTACTATCCCCTGCCTCCACTGCAGAAAAAGCCATCCTAACCCATGCCAGTGCCTGAGTCCTGCACTGACTGAGTTCTCAAGGCTCTGGAATCCTTAGGGACCCCTATTGCCACCTCTTACACTCCCACCCCACCCCTGTCATCAAGTCCAAAGCACCTCTTCCCCAGCTCTGCTTGCTCTGCCTCCAGTCCCCACCTTCTGAAGGTGGCTGCCTCTGATGGAAGAGCCCAGGGCTAAGGAAAAGGCTGAGTTGCCTTGGAGATGAGGGCGGGTCTAACAGGGAAGTCAGGTCACCCCAGGAGGTAGGAGGAGTAGGGGAGAGACTCCCCCATCTCTTTGTCCTCCTCCAGCTGCTCCCATAATGCTCTAGGGCAGGAATGTAGGAGGCAGCTGAGACCCCATAGCCATAAAGCAGCTGAGGGGATGACTGAATTGTGGGGGACACTTGGTTATCAAAGAAGAGGCTGGAACCAAAAGGCACCATGACTATACCTTGGGGGTCCAGTGCCATGGTACAGAGGACCAAGACTGGCTGGGAATTCCTGGGTGCCACTTTCCACCCCCACCTCTCTAGAAACAGCGGGGCCCTTGTTCCCCTGAGTAACCTTCATGCCTATCCCAGATGAGTCATCTGAGCCAGACAGAGCTGAGAGGAGCCTAGGGCAGAGACACAAAGACAGGCAGAGGACAGGAGGCAAGAGGAGGCACAGCAGAAACACAAAGCAAGAGGTAAATAGAGCAGCTCAAAATGCAGGGCACAGGGCCAAGTAGAGAAACACAGAGTACAGCAATGCCTTAGAGCAATCTGTTTTCCAACATCCCCAAGCACACTATCTCTCTCCACTAGGTCTCAACCTCACAATCAGAGAACAAGCCCAGAACACCCATCCCAGTCACATCCAGCTGAGACCCTTCACAACCAATTACAACCCAAGGACCAGGACCCTGCCTCAGGCCTTCACTCTCCTCTCCCAATGCCACATCCCACCCCAAACACCTACACCCACATAGCTCTATACACACACACACAGAGCTAGACATGCAAACTTACTGAGCTGGCTGTAAACACTGGGGCCAAATGCAGTGTACGCACATCTCTGAGGGCCTCAGACAACCCCTAAAGTCTTTCAGAGACAGGGCAAACACCACAGCTCGCATCCACATCCACACCTTGTCATTCTTTAAAGTCCAATCCCTCACTTAGTGAACAGCCACCTTCAGACACCTCTGAGCATGAAATGGCTTCTGAACATGCTTTTACGTTCAGAAGACACTCAGGCCCTTGAACATAGGATCCCACTCCCTGACACATGTGGGTGACCAAGCCAGAGACACGCCAACGGGGAGGGGGAGCAGATGGAAACTAGGGTGGGAAGAGTGGCAGTAAAAACAAGAGCCATCTGTCCATGTTCCCATACATCCTTTCACCTGTCTCCACAGTGCCAATCGGTTCTGGGCATACCTACATCCTCTTAAGAGTCCCAGCGCCAGCCAGAGGCTGGTTGGGTTGGAGGTGGTGGATAAGATTGTTCAGCCAGCAGGGAACCTGTAGGGTGAAGGCTGGGGACATGGGGGTGGGACCCTCGGAGTGGTACTTACTGGGCAGTGAGTGACCTCATCTCATAGCAAAACAAACCAACCATCCAGCGTGGACTGTCCCTGGCAGGTTGGTGTCAGGCCCTCTCCCTGCTGGGCTGTGGCCAGGCTGTCCAACTGGAAGCTGGCTGGCCGAGAGGAGGCTCAACAGTGGATGCCCCCGCGGGGACTGGCAGGGTGGAGGGCGGGCGGCTTCTCCAGGGGCGGATGAGATGACTAAGTGGGCTACATATGCGCACCTGTCCTCCTGGGGTTCGGTTCCTCCACGCTGAGTAAAGGGAAGTCACTCCCCACTATTGGAACACTTTTTCTCGGAAGTCAGGGGCTTCTCGGATTTCAGATAGGGAGCATGAGCACTGGGACGGCGGGCAGGGACCGAGCGCCCCGGCCTGCGCTCCCCCTCCGGCGCCGCCCTCGCCCCCCGCTCCGCGAGTCCCCCCGCGGCTCTCCCTACCTCTCATCGTTCTTCCCAGCAGACCCAGGCGTCCGACCCCGGAGTGGGGCCTCCTCGGCGGCGGGGCGAGGGGAGGGAGAGCGCAGGGAGCCAGGAGCCGGGAGCGGGAGGCGCCGGCGGGGCTCGGGTGTCGGGAGGCGGCTCCCGCGAGCAGCTGTCGGGGGCCTGTTCCGGGGAGAGGAGCCAGGGCTGGGGCGGCCCGAGCCCAAGCGCCGCCTCCCCGCGCCGGGCTCCCCCCCCCCACCTCCTCCCGCCCGCGCTCCCTCCCCTCCGCCCTGTCGCCGCGCGTTCGGGCTTGCAGCCTCCCTTCCCCCTCCCGGGACCAGTGGCCCCCCGGCTCCCACGCCCGGCGCCGCCCCTCGGCCTAGTGCCCCTCTCCGCCCCGCCACGCCCACCCCGCATTCCCCCGCGCGCCAGACCTCCCCCAGGTAACCCGCCCGTGGTCCCCTCCCCAGCGCGCCATCCCCGCCGCCACCGCATGTTCTTGCTACAGCCCCCGCCCCCAGGCCTGTTCGGTGTCCAACCCCCGCGACCCCGAGTTCCCCACAAATGAGACCGCCCGGAGGCCGCCTACAACCCGCTCAGGATCCCCCAGAAGCAGGCCCCATGAGGGGATGGCGCTCCTCCCTACTTCCCCGTTTTCTGGGCTTGGTTCCTGTACAGACAAGCGATGAGGGGCAGCCCCAGGGCACCGAGGAAGGAGCGGGTTCCCACAGGCCCACCGCCCAGCCGAGCGCGGGAGCCCAAATGGGGGAAGGGAGCGGGGTTCACCTGTCCGACCAGACCCGCTCTTTTCACACTACCAGCCTTTGCTTCTTTCTGGCACCCTCTGGGTTTCTGTCTTCCACAGCCCAACCTAGATTGTCTCAGAGTCTGATGGCGGACCATTCTCTTCTAACTCCCTCTTCTGTCTCTGCCTTCCAGTCCCTCTCCCTAGCTCTTCAGTGCACTCCGCAGACCTCTCGGGAACTCTGGGGTCCAGACACCCAGGCCTGGGTTCCCCTGGGCTCTCTGCTCAGAGCTTAGGAATCCTCAGGGCCAGCTCTCTCATGCCCAGCCAGCTGTGGCCTTGTTGAGGGACTGATCACTGGCAAAGAGAGGCTAGAAATGGAGCCAGAACTGGTGGGTGATGGGGAGGAGGAAGACAGAAACACACTGAAAATCAGACCCAGAGGAAAAGGATGGGAACAAGAGATGCAAGGACGCTGAGTAAATAAAAGAAATGAAAGAACTGCTGAACTGTGGACCCATCAGGTAGGGGAACAGAACAGCTTGGGGTAGGAGGAATTCCACCTGCATTCAGAACCACCTGTCAGCCCTATCTCCACACCCCCACACCTGCCAACCCCTGGACAATGTCAGGTAACAGCAAGGTCTCTAGCAACACCGCAGATCTCCGCTCCATTACACCTCACAACCGATATAAATTCACACCCTAAGTGCAGTTCCAAACAGTCCCAAGAAAGAAACATGAAGCCCAAACCAGACAAGTACACAAAAGCACTACCAGGAAGAGGCTGGCCCTTGGGAGAGGCCAAGGCACATATGGGTTCAAGTTCACAAATCCAAGGACACTCCAGGGACTGAGGGACCTGCTAACAGATAGCCCTATGATCACTGACAGAATTACCTCATGCCCTCCCACCAAGCCTCCAGGGATCCCCCTACTCTCCACCTCCACCGCCCTCAGAGCACCTACCCCTCTGCAGACAGCACCAGGAAATCTGGGCCCTGGAGAGGCTGGGCCAGGCCCTTGGAGCCAGTCTGGGGGTGGGGCCAAGGCTTCCCTGTAACCTCACCTGGGCCAGCCTCAGCCCCTCCTCCCTGCAGCAGTGCTTTGGGGAAGTCCCCAGCAGGCCAGCCAAGCTGAGCCACAGTTCCTCACAACCTGGCGGGACATTCCACACCCCAGGCCCATGCTGACTGAGGCAGAAGGGTCCACTGGGAGAAGAAACTAGAGTCCTAAAATCTTTGCCCCTCTTCTCACTCTCCCAGGAGACATTCCTAGCCAGTGATGCCCACCTCATCCCAGCCCAGGAGTAGGAGGGATGCAGTGCTGGGGCCCAGAGGAGTCAAGTGACAACAGAAAGGGGGCTGGAGCCAACTGGAATGCGGGGCTTGGAGCCGAGATTCCCAGGGGCCAGAGAGGGAAATCCCAGACTTCCAGGGGCCCACAGAGTAGTGCCAAAAACCAAGGGTGACTGCCCATTCCTCATTTCCCTCACCACTCCCAACCCAAGAGGCCCCCAACCCTCTAAGGGCTATTCATGCCCTCCTGTCCTGGGTTGTCCTCCCCTAAAGTAATGGCCTCCTGCTGCCCAGGAAGGAAAAGAGGAGAAACAGCTGAAAAAATGTGAGTAGAGGCATATGAGAAAGAGGAGAGCACAACTCTGGGCCTGCAGGGACCTGCAGACCACCGGGCCAGTGTAGGGAAGTTGAGCAGGACCAGCGGGAGGGAGGATGGGGCAGATTACACCCTCCCCAGCTACAGCTCCCTAGTCCCCTTCCCAGAGATGCAGCTGCCTCTGGGGTAGCAGGTTGGTCAGCAGCTGGTGAGAGTGGGACTTGACTGGCCAGGAGGCAGGGCAAGGGGTGGGAAAGGCTCTGGTTATGAATCATACATTAATGCCACTGAATACAAATGAGAAACTGAGGCCCAAAGTGTGAACAAGGAAGAAGAGATGATGTAGCTCTGGGAGAAAGATAAGACAGAGCTCAGTTGTGGATAGCCTGGGGGAGGGAGAAAGAAGGGACAGAAGACCAGTGGAGAGAAGAAGGGGCCTAGGGGTCAGATGGGGACAATGGTGATGAAACTCAAAGAGAGGCAAGAGAGAGACTGAGGCAAGGCTTGGGAAACTAAGAAGAGTGAGGACAAAGGGCACACACACCAATAAGTAGGAAGACCAAGGGACACAGAAGAAAGTGAGGGGGGCGGGCATAGACATAAAAACCTCAGGGAGGAGCCTGGGAGGTGAGCAGACGGACCAAGAGGACCAAGGGGTTAAAAATAAAGGACAAAGGGAGAGAAGAGGTTGCAGAAAGACTGAGACATGGGGAAAAAGAAGGGAGAGACTGAGGCACAGAGTTTGAAAAAAAAAATGGGACATGAGGGGAAGTCTAAGAGGATGAGAAAGGAAGGGCAACTGTAGGACAGACAGAGAGGAAGGCGGGAAAAGAAAGCCAGAGATGAAATTGAACCTGTCTGGGACTGTAGGACATAAGCCCCAGTCCTTCCTTTGGGACATCCTAGCCCCTCAGTCTATTTTCCACACAAGGCACCCACTCTATTCCTCATCCTTCCTCCTTTCACCGCACCTCTAGTCAGACCCACCTGGTCTCTCCCCACAAAGGCAGGGCCCCGTTCCAGTGTCCACGCTTGCCCTTCCAGTTCAGCTCTGACTTCCTCCCTCTCACCTTCAGCTCAGGTTCTCCTGGGTCCTGGTCTCCCCAGTCTCAGGCCTTTGGGGTTCCAGGTCTGGGGCTGTGGAGGCTGCCTGGCTTTGTCCAAGAGTCCAGGGCCCGGGGCCCAGGAGCAGCTGCCCGGGCCAGCTGCGGCTGGCTTCAGTGTGACCATGGCAACCCAGCCCGCTCCCCTAGCTGAGCCTCTCGGCCCCCGCAGAGAGGGAGGGGACAGCCTGGCTGGGGAGAAAGGGAGGGGTAGCCGAGAACTGTGAAACTGAACCAAAGGGAGACCCCAGACAAAGAGACCCCAAACAAAAGAAGACGAAGGAGGCCCGAATAGGCAGAAAGCAGCATTGGCTTGCTGTGACCCAGAGTTTAGAGCCAGCTTGACGTGCAGAGAGAGGAGAAGGTGTAGGGGGGGTGGGCGCTAAAGGTGGAAGAAGAGAGATCAGAATTGACCGGGTGGTCCTTTGGAGAACTTCTTATGAGTCCATGAACGATGCACTTCCAGGATTTTGATTTTGCACGGGGCGGGGGGGTTGGGGGGAGTTGGGGGGGAGGGGAGGGAAACAGAACAGTTTCCAAGTTAGCTGCCCCAAAAATATTACATGGTGAAAGACTCCCCCAGTTGCACCTGTGGTCACAGGAAGCACCAGAAGTCAGGGATGCCCCAATTTCAAACATCTGCTGACCTATACTTGTTAAATATTGCGAGCAGCATTGTCAAACGGTACACTCCAATTCTTGGTCTGGAAACACAGTGTTCCCCAAAGCTGAAGGAAGGTGTCAGATTGGACTTGGAGGGGGTAGGACCAGAGGGAGGTAGTAATGATGCTTCTGATCTCGCAGTGCGTGAGAGGAAGCCTAGCACCAACAGGGGAAGGGATAAAGCCAGGCTCGTCCTCTGAAAGGAAGGTTGAAATTACCACTACCATCTGGCTTCTCTTGGCTGAGTCCTTCACCCTTCAAATTCCCTCACCAGTAGGATGGGGAGACCAGGGAGGGGAGTCTGTCTGGGTGGCAACTCTTGGTACTTAATGTGTCACTAGGGGGGTCTCTCAGTCTCACAGATACCCGAAGAGCATGGCCCACTTCACCCTCCCGGCACATAGAGTCCAGAGGGAGAGCCGGGTATAAGCATGTCCCTAACCACGACAGGCTGGCCAGAGGGGGCAGTGGACCAGAGGAGGGTCAAGCCAGTCCTGAGCAGGCAGGAGGAGACTGAGACAGGCCTAATAAAAGAACACAGCCTGAACTGGGCTGTAGGTTGCATTAAGATTTGAAGAGATGAGGCAAGGCTGTTCTGGCTGAGGCAGCTGTGGGTGAACAGGCAGGGAGGTGCCAACTTGGGTGTGTGAAAATGCAGCTGTGACTGTAAGTAGGGTCTGTCCTGATGAGTAAAGCCAGAAAAGTAGACGTGGTCTCTTAATAGTTTAGCCTATTCTGAAAGTGAGGTGGAAGAGCCTTGGGGTACTGAGCTGGGAAGTGATGTGATTAGATTTGTGTTTTGAAAAAATCAGTTTCTGAGCTGGGTGTCCGTGGCTCACGCCTGTAATCCTAGCTACTCAGGAGGCAGAGATCGGGAGGTTCAAAGCTAGCTCCAAGCGAATAGTCCTGAAGACCCTATCTGGAAAATATCCAACACAAAAAAGGGCTCGAGGAGTGGCTCATGCAGTAAAGTGCCTGCCTAGAAAGTGTGAGGTTTTGAATTCCAACTCCTGAGTTCAAACCTCAGTACTGCCAAAAAAAGAAAGAAAGAAAAAGAAAAGCAGTTTCTGGCAGCAGCATGTGAGAAGCAAAGTTCAGTGAGGGGAGGA